CAGAAGGAAGTGAGGAGAGCCGTGGCACTGGAGATGGCACGGACGGTGAGAAGCAGCAGCAGAGAAACGGCAGCAGCAGAACCAGGAGATCAGCGCAAGACAGCACTGGGGCCGACCCGTGGAGCGAGGGAGCTGAGTGCCTTCGTGTAGGCGGCTTCCTGGCAGAGTGGGGTGCCTACGGGCACTTATCAGTGGAGCAAGTCTTGCTGACTCACGGAGCAAGAGACCTGAAGGCTTAAAGCCGAAGTTTACTGGTGGAATGGGATGCCTCCAGGCACTTATCTATGGAGATAAAGAAGTTTGAACTCTTGCCCCAGCAAGGCAGGTGGTGAGGCCCGAGGGGCCAAGAGGCCAAGACACCAGGAAGCAGAAGCTGAAGAAACAAGGAACACAGGAAGCAGAGTTGCCTCAGTCTCCAAGGGTAGGGCCACAACCTCTGGAGTCTCAAAGGATAGAGTTACCACTCAGATGGACTAGGAGATTGGGGCCACCCAAATTCGAGGCAGCAGAGTTGTCATTGCAATGGGCCCGGAAGGCAGAGCTGAAGCCCAGGGCTGAGGGCCCTCTACTCAGAATCCAGAGAGTGTGACCAATACCTAGAGTCTGGAGGGCAGGGCCATTGTGTAAATTGTCTCAGAAAACAGAAGATTAGTTTCAGGCCTTGAGGGCTAACGTAAGGTGTTCTGCTGACTCACTTGGTGCCTGTTATCCTTCTTTCCCTCCAGTTTCTCCCGTTTGTAATGGAAATGTCTAGCCTGTGGCTGTTGTTCCACTGTACTTTGGAAGCAGATAACTTGTATTCTAGATTTCACAGATGAAGAGGAATTTTTGGATTTTGGACTTGGAGTTGATTTAAGATTTTTGCTATCATATGATGGGGTTAATATGTTTTACATGTGGCAAGGACATGAATTTTTGGAGGCCAGAGGGTGTCATGTTATGGATTGAATTGTGTTCCCCAAAAGTATCTGTCACCTTGGCTAGCTCGTGATTCCCAGTATGGTGTGATTGTCCACCATTTTGTCATCTGATGTGATTTTCCTATGTGTTGTAAATCCTACCTCTATGATGTTGATGGGAAACCCTGGTGGCGCAGTGGTTAAGACCAACAGCTGCTAAACAAAAGCGCAGCAGTTTGAATCCACTAGGCTCTCCTTGGAAATCCTATGGAGCAGTTCTACCCTGTCCTATAGGATCGCTAGGAGTCAGAATTGACCTGACGACAGTGGGTTTGGTTTTTTGGTTTTTTTTTGGCATGATGTTAATGGGGTGGGATTAGCGGCAGTTATGTTAATGAGGCACGACTCAATCTACAAGATTAGGTTGTGTCTTAAGTCTATCTCTTTTGAAATATAAAAGAGAGAAACGAGCAAATAGACAGGGGGAACTCATACCACCAAGAAAGTAGTGCCAGAAGAACTGCATGATACCCGGCTACCACCAATGACCGCGCTAACAGCGAACACAACAGAGAGTCCCAGACAGAGCGGGAGAAAAGTGTGGAGCAGAACTCAAATTAATGTAAAAAGACCAGACTTAATGATCTGACAGAGCCTGGAGGAACCCCCGAAACCATGGCCCCTGGACATTCTGTTAACCCAGAAACGAAACCGTTCCAGAAGCCCACTCTTGAGACATAGACGGGACTATAAAAAATAATAATAATACACATGAGGAGTGTGTTTCTTAGTTCAATCAAATACAGGAGACCAAATGGGCAGCTTCTGTCCAGAGGCAGGATGAGAAGGCAGGAAGGGGCAGGAAGTGGTCGAATGGACACAGGGAACCCGGGATAGAAAGCAGGAGTGTGCTGTCACTTGTGGGGATTGCAAATAATGTCACAAAACAATATGTGTATAAATTTTTGTATGAGAAATTAACTTGAGCTGCAAACTTTCACCTAAAGCACAATAAAAAAGAAACTAGTGCCGGGAGAAGAGCACGTCCTTCGGACCCGGGGTCCCTGTGCTGAGAAACATCTAGTCTAGGGGAAGATTGATGACAAGGACCTTCCTCCAGAGCTGACAGAGAGAGAAAGCCTTCCCCTGGAGCTGATGCCCTGGATTTGGACTTGACTGTGAGAGAATAAACTTCTGTTTGTTGAAGCCAGCCACTTGTGGGATTTCCATTGTGGCAGCACTAGATGATTAAAACACCACAGATGCTGCCAGACACCCTACAGTGCACAGGACAGCCCCTACAACAAAGAATTGCTAAGCCCAGAATGTCACTTGTGCCAAGGCTGAGAAGCCTGGCCTTGGAGAGCCGTGCACCTGTCCTGGGGTTGCCCAGGCCCCGCCAGCTTGGGGCCTCTTTCAGTTCTGCCCGAAGTCTCTGATCTCAGGCTGCCAACTTGGAAGAAGCATTTTTCCACCCTGCATGGAACACCAAGGTCAAGACTGGCACATTGAATTCATACAGAGAGAAAGCAGAAGTTCCCAGGGGTTGGGGGCGGGGAGAATGGGGAGTTAGCGTGTCATGGGTACAAGGTTTCTATCTGGGGTGATGAAACAGCTCTGGAAATAGACAGTGGTGATTACACAGTGGATGTACTTCATGCCACTGAATTGCACATTTAAAAATGGTTAAAAGGACAAATTTCATGTTATGTGTATTTTGCCACAATAAGAACAAATTTGTTTGGGGACCTAAGGAAAAATAGTAAGAGGCACTTGTTCCCGAGCCACTTCTCCAGGCAGAACATGTTTCAGGCTCACGGGAGGTTCTGGCTCTGTGGGAGGTCTCCCGGCTTCTGAGTCCCAGGAGTACATGATGGCCTGGGCTGGGCCGGGGAGCCTCCCTGTTCTGGCCTCTGAGGCTTCCTTTGCTCTGCGCCTGTGTCTGAAGTTGGGGGGGCGGGGGTGGGAAGGGGCTAGCCTGGTGCAGCGAGGACGTGGGCTCCAGGCCAATGGAACAGCATGTACAAAGCCCAGAGGGAGGGAGGCTGGCTGCTCCCACGGAGCCGCTGGAGGGGCTGTGGAGGAGGGACCCTGGTGGGGCCTGGAGTCTGCCCTGAGGGATGGGGTTATGGAAGGGTTAGAGGCAGGGGGATGTACAGTCAGTGTTCAGTTCCAGAAAATCACCTGCTGTAGGCAGAGAACTATTGGAGGGGAGGTCCCTAGTAAAGGGTAGGATCAGGACCTGGGCCCATGGTGGGAGGGTGGCCGTGGATGGGAGGAAGGGCAGAATTGTCAGGGCTGGGGTGCTTCTCCGTGGCTGGGGCCAGCCTAACCTCTGCATGACAAGCCAGCTGGGTGTTGGGGGCCTTGGGGGTGCCGTGTCCTTCAGGACCCCTCCTTTCCTGCCTCTGGTCCTAAGGCTTGGTCCACACCTGCACACGTAAGCCTGGCCAGGAAGTCTAGGCCTGGGGTGGCAGAGGCCCCCTGGAGAACCCACCCCATCCTCCTGGAGGGGTCTCATGCTTGGTGGGACCACACCACAGGCTGAGAACACCCGTGGGAAGGTTCACACAGAGCTGGAGCCCAGGAGGGAGCACCCGGAACCCCTCCTGCTAGACGGGGGCACCCTCTGGGGCTCTTGCTTTCTATACACCATACATGCTCGCACCCTGTGTCTGGGCCTTCAGCCCTGGAACCCGCCGTGGCATTGCTGTGACCTTGGCTGAGGGTCCCCATGCCCCTCCTGGGGTCCAGGTGCACGGCAGGCCATCCTCCACCTGTGCCCACCAGAGCAGGCCTGGCGCAGGGGGCAGGGAGGGACCTGGGCTGGGACCCAATCCCAGCCTCTTCTGGTACCTGGTGGTTCCCCTTTTGTCACTAAGGGGGAAGTGTGCTCTTCCTGCCCAAAAGTGGGCCAACACTGGGTGTGGCAGGAGTGGAAGGTGCTGGGCCCCCAGACCTTGAATCCCACGGGTGGACCCAGCTGGGGGTGCCCAGCCCATAAAGTGCCCTGCATGCCTGTTCCTCCTCCTTGTGGAGGAGTCCCGGCCTCTCTCAGCCCCTGTGCTCAGGAGGAGGGGAGCGACTGCCCCCTGAACTCCGTGCCCCCCAGGGACAGTCATCTCCAGGGCAGGGGCACAACTGTGTCTTGAAGCCCATCCTGTGACACCTGCACAGCCGTCCTGGCTGCCTGCCGGGTCCAAGGCCCTGAGCTGAGTCACAGGCTGCTCAGCGGGGTTTGGAGCCCCAGCCCCTAGTTGGTTCAAAGCTGGGGCCTGTGGAGAGCAGGCAAGGCCCAGCTCCCTGACCTACTCTAGGAACCGCTCCAACCTATCCGATGCAGCCCGATCCCCCTGCACCCTCGGCCTGGGTATGCCCTCTGACCGCCCTCCGGGAAGATTGCCCCACTTCCCTCAGTGAACCTGGCGCTGGCTGAACTCCCCTCTCACGGCTCCCCCATCTGCTCCCACCTGTCACCTTGTCTGGGTCCCCTCCGGGCCCCTGAGCCAAGCCCGATCACACACTAGGCCCCCAGGTCTCCCGGCCCAGCCCCCAGAGCCCTTACCGCCCCAGCCCCCATCTAAGAGACCCCCAGAAACACTAGGAAATGGCCCTTGCCCGGCGCTCGACCGGCGCCCTCTGCTGGCTGTTGACGGAAGCGCAGCCTGGTGTGACCAGTACGTTTACTAGAGACCTGGGCTCAGATCCCAGGCTCAGGAGGAGGGGACAGCACAGTTGTAAACATGGGGGTGGGGCTGCCACGGACCCCTTCCTGCCCAGGGGCCGCCTGAGACATGGTCGCAGAGGAGGGTCCCCGCTCCCCTCTGATGTGGCAGTAGCAGCTTCGGGTTGTGACGACTGCCCCTCCCCCACCCTGGGTCAGCCCCAGAAGCCAGGACCCGGTCCATGTCTGGGGGCCTCTTGCCTACCAGACCCCTGGGACTAGAGGGATGAGCGATCCTAGGTCGGGAGCGAGAGGAGAGGGCACCCACTCCAAGCCTCTGTCCAAGCCGCCGGCGTTCCTTGGCCGGAGGTGGGGCCCGAGGTGGTGCCTGCCTGGGACAGCGCCAGGCCAGAGGCCCACGTTCACGCTGGCAGCCGCTAGATAAAGGTGGAATCTAGGGGTCCGGCCTCCTGCTGGCTGCGGGCTCGAGCCTCGAACAACTGCTTGATGAGGGCTGACTTCTCCTGCTCCAGCTGGGTGACACGCTGGCTCTTGTCCCTCACCTCCTGGTGGGCGGTGGTGGTCAGGGCCAGCCGGTCCCCCGGCCCACCCCGCCCCCTCCCCACACCTCACCTTGGTGAGGAGTCGGTTCTGCTCCTTCAGCATGAGGATGGTCTGCTTCGGCCAGGCTGGGGCTGAGGGCAAGGCGGGGGCCAGGGCAGAGGGGCCCGGGGGCCCCGAGGACGAGGGCGGAGCCTGCAGGAGAGCAGGGTCAGCGGGCCTGGCACTGCCCCGCACAGCATCCAGGACAGGGCTAGGGGCACCAGGGGACGGGGGCACTCACCCTACGTGGGGGAGGGGCACTCACCCTGTCCAGGTGGTGTTGGGGGGCACTCCCTCTCCCAGCACAGGCTGCAGCCAGCAGCTCCCCCAGGCACCGGGCCACCTCCTGTACCTTGGGCAGCAGCTGCCCCAGTGGGCGGAGGCTTCCTTCAGCCCCCGAGTCCTGGAAGGAAAGTGGGGTAGGTGGTCAGAGTAGGGCCAGCCGGAGGGGGGGGGGTCCCACAGGTGGCACTCCTGCCCCCCCAAGTTGCTGCTCAGAGCCCAGAGGGAGCCCAGGGGTGCTGCTGCTGAGGAGGTCGGCCCCAGGGCTCCTTATATGGGGAGGGGGCGGGGAGGGTGTGATAGTGCTGGGAGGGGGATCCCAGCACCCTGCGGTGGGAGGTTCAGCCACTGCGCCCTGGAATGGAGGAGTCATCACTCCTAGGGGTGCCTGGGCTGGGGGGCGGTCCCCGTGAGTGTGTGCGTGCACGTACAGACAGGCGTGTGGTGGGGCGTTGGCCGCCCCCTGCAGAAGCATCACTCACGGTGCCGGCTCTGCCCTGGCCCAGGCGGCGCTGGCGCTCCTGCACGCGCTGCAGCTGCTGTTGGTACCAGTCCCGGCCCCGTGTCATCATCTCCAAGCCCTGCAGCAGCACCTCCTTCTCCTGCTCCAGCTCCTTCAGCTGCTTCAGCTGCAACACGCGTGTGCACACAGGCATGCACACACCTCACGCATGTGTGCAAATAAGCACACACGTGTGCATACATGCCTGCGTGCACCTGTGTATGTGCACAAGGATCCATGGTTTGAATGAAGCCGTGTGTCCACACAAAGTCCCGTGTGCAGGGTCAGTCACATGCAGGTGTGCACAGCAACGCACATCTGCAAACACACCTGTACAGGTGTGCACCCTGCATGCCTGTTCCTCCTCCCGTGTGGAGGAGTCCTGGCCTCTCTCAGCCCCTGTGCTCAGGAGGAGGGGAGTGACTGCCCCCTGAGCTCTGTGCCCCCGTCTTCAGGGACCTGCCTATCCGACGTGAGCACACAGCAGGTGAGCTGGTCTAACCTGGCAGAGAGGAGCCGAGGGAAGTGGGCTTGGGCAGGGCAGTTCTGGGGAGAAGCCCAAGCCCACCGCCCCGCACACCTAAGCTGCCTTTTCTCTAAAGGACGTCTTGATATCCCCCCACCTGACCCTGGCCCCATGCCTCAGATGGTTTCAAGCTGGGGAGATGTTCAGACCTGACCAGCGCTCTCACCACAGGTTCCCCCCGAAACCCAGGCGGGGCAGTGGCCCAGGAGACCCTAGCCTGGGGTGCTAGGTCTAGTCGCAGGCAAGGAGAGCCCCACAGATCCCCACTCACCAGGTCACAGTCCGCACCGCTGGTGATGGTGTGCCTGCGATGCCCTCCCCGGGCACGTGGCACCCGCCGGGTTTCTCCCACGTCCACCTCCGCGGCCCTGCAGGCCACCCCACCTGCACAGAGAGGCATGGGCCTGGCTCCCTCCAGACCTGCCTGCTCTCATGCAGCTCCCACCTGGCTTCCTGCTCCACCTTGAGCTGCCCAACCACCCTGGCAATGCGGGCTCGCTCGAGGTGTCAGAGTCCAGCAAAGGCGGGTGCCCGGGCCTGTGGGGCTCTGGAAACCACCGCATCCTCTGTGAGCTCCTCCCCTACCTCAGCTCCGGCTGAGCCTCATCTCAGGCACAGTCTAGCCTGGCCCACATCCCGCCTCTGTGCCCAGCTAGGGTGTGGTCCCCCCTTGATCTTGACCAGAGGCACAGCAGCTGTGCTTCTAACATGTTTGCTTACCCCACACTCACACCAGCCCAGAGGGCAGGAGGCTTCAAGGGCAGCAGGCTTCACCTGGCTGGTGTCTGCATCCCCTGTGCCCACACTGTGTGGGCACCCCACAGGGGTCGCACAGCTGCCAGATAAGGGAGGACAAGGGGCCCCTAGTCCTCTCTGCACCTCTCCCCTCATCTGCATAGGGCTCTCAAAGGACTACAGGCTTGGATGCAGGCGGAGCATGGGGTAGGGGTGATGGAGAGCGTGGGGCGGGGTGATGGAGAGCGTGGGGCGGGGTGGTGGAGAGCGTGGGGTGGGGTGATGGAGAGCGAACCTCGTCCGGAAGGTAACTGCACGTGCAAACGGAACCACACGCAGCAGGTAAGCAGGGGTTTCCCTAGCACACGTTTGGGGTACTCACATCACACCTAAACCACAGTTTGCAGCAACCCGCACCTATGGGGCCCTGGGTAGCCTGCCCACACCTCTGGGGCCCTGGGCTAGGAGCCTGCACCTAGGGGACCCTGGGCTGGCAGCCCGCACCTATGGGGCCCTGGGCTGGCACCCTGCAACTATGGGGTCCCCAGCAGCCTGGGGTGCACACCAAGCCCCCAAGTGGGGAGAAGGAAGAAGGGCCTGGATCTCTGAATTGAGGCTTGGAAAGCTGTGTGTGGGCAGGGACTTTCTGTTCCTGGGGAGCTGGGGGCCTTGGAGTTCCAGATTTGGTAAGGGAGAGCCAGCTCTGCCTGAGCTAGCATGTTGCACCCTTTTTCTGGGCTTCTGTTGGCCTGAGGCCTGCAGGGTACTCAGTGTGAGTGCTGCCCCCTGGTGGACGCTGGTAATGTGCGTGCTCCTTAGAGGGGGGCAGTGACAGAGCCACGCAGGGCAAACTCCCAGCCTTTCTGTCGCCGGAGATGCCGTGGCTGACTTCAAACTGTGCAGCCACAAGGATAGCACCGGCCTTGCACCTGGGCCAGCTGCCCCAAAACCCCCACAGGGACGGGGAGGGAAGCCTGGATGGAGGAGCCCCCACGAAGCAGCTCGGGAGACAGCAGCCCCCAGCCTGGGGACAGGGCTGCTAACTCAGTACACATAACAGCGGAGGCCAGTGGTCAATGCTGGGTGCTGGAAACATGGCGGAGGTGGGTGGAGAGGTCCAGGGAGGCTGGCTGAACTGGTGTGCTGCACAGAACGGACTGGCAGCTGCTGCCGGTGGAAGGCCTGCATGGGGGGGCATGGGGCGGGCAATATGGGCCTGCCGGGCATGTGAATAGGCTGGGTGGGCTTGGGGTACATGGGTGGGCTGGACGGCATGCAGCAAGGCTGGATGGGCTGTGGGGTACATGTGTGGGCTGGAGGGCATGCGGCCAGGCTGGATAGGCTGGGAGCCAGGCCTCACCACACCCCCCCCCCCACCGCCATCATGCATGTCCTGTTCCCAGTGCTGGTGCTCAGGGTGGTGGTGGTGGGCTGACAGGGGGCCATTCAGCTGTCTCCTGTCATCCTTGCCAACTGGACTGGAAGCCAGCAAGGAGCCTCCCCAGGGCCTGCGGTCTGTCCCTGCCTGGCATTAGCTGCAGGGGGGTCCCGGAGAGCCAGCTATGCCAGCCCTCACTGGAGGCCCACCTGCCCCCTTGCTATCTCCAGAAAGCAGGGCCAGGTCCTCTTGGGCCACGTCCAGTGGCTTCTCCCAGCCCTGGCCTCGCTGAGCTGTCAGACTGAGACGGACTCACAGTCCAGGGCCTGACTCTCACCTACACCACACGGGACCTCCTCCTTCTGAGCAGCCACAGAGATGAGGGGTGGGCCCAGGGGTCCCCAGCTGGGGGCAGGCACTCTGGTGGGAGCCCTCCCTCACAGCAGGCAGGTGTCGGAAGTGCCCAGCTCAGGCATGGAGTGGGCTCCTGGGACCTTCTGCAGAGCCACCCACTCACACTGGTGGCCTCACGATGTGGCAGGGGAGGGGCTGGTGGTGTCTCCTTTAGGTCCCCGCAATCGGGCCGCTGGGGGCACCTTGGGGAGTCCTCTTTCCCTCCAGGCACGCCTAGGCTCGCTCCAGGCTCAGGTGCCCACGAAGAAAAGTTGCCCACCTGGACATCCCATTGGAAATGTCCCGGCTTGGCCGAAGGGCCCCGAGGCCGAACAGGGTCCGCCCGCACTCACCAGCGTCCGCGGTCAGGCTCCGCTCAGCCTCCCCGGGCCCGGGCGCCGTCTCTTGCGGGCCGCACAGTCGCTCCAGGCTCCGGGCCGCGCCCCCGGGGCCGGCAGGCGGGGGGCGCGCCCCCAGGGGCAGGGCCTTCTTCTCCAGCACCGTGCGCGGCTCGTCTGCGGGGGCGAAGAGCAGCCGCTGCGGCGGCAGCGTCTTCTCCGCGGGCCGCGCCCCCAGGCTGCCCTCTTGGGCCGGGGCGCCAGCCGGGCCCCGCGGGCCGCCCTCGGCGCTCAGCAGCGAGGAGCGCAGGCCGGCCACGAAGCGCTCGAAGGTCAGGTAGCCGCTGGCTGGAGCCGCCTGCCGCAGGCCGTCGAGCACGCCGCGGGGCAGCTCGCGCGCGTCGGCGCCCTGCCACCGCGACTCGATCTCGCCCAGGTGCACGTAGCCGCGCCGCCGGTCGTCCAGGATGTCGAAGAGGGTGCGCAGGCTCTGCAGGAAGGCGCGCGGCAGCCCCTCGGTGCCCAGGCCTGGCGCGGGCGCAGCTGCAGGCAGCAAGCGGCCCCGCTCGGCCATCGCGGCCGCGGCCATGGGCACTCGTGCGGTCCAGGGTCTGTCCCCGCGTCCCCCGGGCGGTCTGATCCGGGGTCTATCCTGAAATCTGCCCCCACGTCCGCCCCGGGATCCGCCGGGGGCTGGTCCCCGCGTCCTCCCCGGGATCTGGCCAGGCGTCTGTCTCAGGGTCCGTCCCCGCGTCTGCCCGGAGTGCGTACGGGCGGCGGGGAGGCGGCAGCGAGGCGGTGGAGAGGCGGCGGGCGCGCGCGCAGCTCTCCCAACAATAGCTGCTACTTTTTGAATGGGGCCCACTTCGTCGCGTCATCCATCATTAGCATTCGCGGCAGGCATTGGCCGATGCTGGCCCATCGCCTCTCCGATTGGCTGAGAGGCAGCCAGCCCCGGTTTGATTTTTCCTGCCCAGGGCCCCACGGCCCACGCGCTCCCTCCGCCGCCTGGCCTGCTCGCCTCGCAGTGCAGCCCGCGGGATGCTGGGAGGGCGCGCCGGGGCCCTGGGCGTGAGGGGCCGAGACCTCCTCTCTCTGGCCACCCGCAGCCCTGTCGAGGAGGGACAGGGAGCCCAGAGTGGACCTCCCCGCCAGTCCCCCCACCGCCGGCCGCCAGCCCTCCCGCCGCGGCTGCAGCTTTCTCCCGCCCAGCCGCTGTTGGCCGCCCAGGCCGCTCCTCAGAGGGGCGGGGCCTGGCGCCCAGCAGAAAACCTGTCCCCAGGTGGCCTCGTGGGATAAGGATAGGGGCACACCCCTCCAGGACCCCACTTTTCATCTGTATCTCCCCGCCTTCTTCCCTGAAGGTCCCCTGGCCACAGGCTGCCTCTGGGGCCCCCTTCTTATGTGTCACGAGGGTCCCAAGGGGACCTCTGGCTCCAGCCAGCTGGGCGCTTCCTCTCACACAGAGGCCTCTCTGTCCCCGCCGCTGCCAGCTCCTTCCCTGGCCCCTTGGGATAGTCTGGCCTTTCCTGCTAGCTGCAGGACACAGCCACTTTCTCCTCTGTCCCCAGATCCCCATCTGATGACAGGCCTCCCCTGTTCTGAGCGCCACTGCTCCGGCCCCTTCCTCTGGCTGCACACACTCCACAGCTGCCCTACTGGCTTCCATGGCCTCCTCAGAGGTCGGCCTGGGCAGCTGCCGAGCTTCTAGCTGGATCTGGTCACCCTGGCTGGCCAGTCTGGGAGGGAGGCCCTGCTTTTGGCAGTCCGGCTCTGGGAGCCATCTCAGGGGCAGTGACTGGCCCCAGCAAGACCTTGTCCAAGCCAGGGGGCTGCCCAGGATGCTGTATGCCTGGAACCCCCCTCCACCCTTGCCCATCCTCCAGGACTCTCCCTGTCCCCATCCCTACCCCCAGAGTCTCCCCGGACTGCCCCTGTCCTGAGCCTTGATCATGAGCTGTCTGCAGCCTCTGCTTTCTAAGCAGACTATCCGTCTTCAGGGCTAAATCAGAAATAGTCGCCAAACCCTCTCTGGACAGGCCCCAGCATGCAAGTCCACTGGGGCCCTCTGGCCGGCCTCCGCTGGCCTGCCTACCTGGGCCACTGTGCCCCGAGGCCCCACGGTCCCTGGTGTCAATGTCTCAGGCTGTTGGGGCAGCTGCTCTGTCCAGAGGGTGGCCTGGGCCTCCTCTCCTTTGGGGTTCTTCCCTCAAAGTCAGGGCTCCCACATATCAAGGACTTGGGGGGGTTCCCATTGATCCTGTCCATCCCTGTCCACCCCTTCAGTGGGGGCCCGGCCAGAGTCCCAGCATTCAAGCCATTTATTCTGTAGCCTCATCCCTCCACCTGCCCTGCTGCCCGCACCTGCCGCCAGTCCTTAGGGTCCCAGGTCCCCTCCTCTCTGAGCCCTTGAAGGTGGCGGCTTTTCTGCACCCTTCCACTCCGCCCCGGGGCTGACAGCTCTGCATCCTGCCCCACCCCCAAGAAGTCTGGTTAGACCCCCGACCTTCAAAGCCCTGGTCTGCTTTCTCCTGACTAGCATGGTGGTCTCCCTGAGTCCCCGTGCTCTCGGGGGCCTGGCCTGTGGTAGGGGTTTGTTGGACAGCCGGCACACAGGAACCTCATCCTGGGGGGTCACAGTGGCAATGCCCCTCGAGGTGGGAAACCATGCCAGGGGAGGCCTGCGGGGTGGGGGGTGGGGCAGGAAGGAGACCTGTGTGGGGACCAGCGGCCAACAGCAAGGGACGCTGCTGCTGCTCAGGACAGCAGGGCCAGCGGGGCCCAGGCCCGAGCCCACCGCACAGAGCAAACAGCTTCTCGAGCTTCCAGAGTCCCTGAGGGGTGACCCCACTGGGATGGAGAAGCTAGCCCTGAGGGCGTTCAGAGGGGCTCCAGTCCCCTGCTGGCTCCTGTCCTGGGACTGGCCCATGGCCAGATCCCAGAGGGGGTTCCAGAAGAAGCTGGACCGGAGCACGGCCCCGCATTGTTCCTGTTCTGAGATCCCACCACTTCCTCCTTCCACCCCCCCGCCCCAGAGGCCTGGCACCTACGCACCCCATTAGCTTTCACCTTCGCTGCCACCCCTGGGGTTTTCCTGAGCCCCAGAGCACATGGGTCCCCCTGTGACCCCTGGAGTTCTCTTCGAGGCCCCCATCCGGTTGTAATGATGCTCTTATTGTGCCAAGGCTGCGGCAACTTGGGGAGAGGTGGAGTGGGGCCCCTCAGCCCCTGCTGTACCCCAGCACTGGGCACAGGCTGGAGGAGCATGCACGCGGCTGCCCGGTACCCGCCGCCTTTCCCAGGGTTCTCTGGTATCCACTGCCCAAGGACAGCCAGTGAGCCTGTTTTGGCCTCCAAAGGGCTGCTGGCCTGAACCCCTTAGAGGAGGCCCTAGGACAAAGGGAAGGTGACCCCCTTGGCCACAGACCCGCCCTCGGCAGGTGGCACTCCCACCTGCCTGCCCAGGTGGATCACCTCAGCTTCTCCTACTCTGCAGGCACCCAGGCTCACCAACCCCAATTTTCCAAACCCTGCCGAGCTCAGCCCCACTTTGAGACTGGCCCCTGGGGCCACCCTGACCCAGACGGGTCCAGAGTTCGTGTCCTGACCCCGGCCTGCAAGCGCACAGGTGCCCATCTCTGCTGCTCAGCCCTGCAGGGCGATAAGGATTCCCATGGACTCTGGTCTGGGTGTGGAGACCTGGCTTCCGCATCCTACCGTCCCCTCCACCTGCATGCTTTCCCCAGACTACCCTGCAGCCGCCACAAGCTGTTGGAGCCAAACAGACCATTCACTCATTCATTCAGCAAGCACTCCCTGAATACTCGGGTGGCCATCGCTGTGCTGGGCTTGGGACCCAGCGCTCCTCTGTTCAGTCCACAACATTTATTGAGTGCCTGCTGTGTGCTGGCCATTGATGGAAGATGATGGGGGCAGAGCAGTCAACCAAGCAAAATCCTGCCCCTGTGGCAGAAACAAAGGAAGGAATAGAGAAGGGCTGGAGGTTGTCTCCGAGATAATGTGACCCGGGAAGTTCTCTCCAGGGAGGTGAAACAAGAGCACAGACCCGTGCAAAGTGGGGCACTGAGTTGTGTGGGGCCTCACTGGGAACAGCATTCAGGGCAGAGGGAACAGCAAGTGCAAAGGCCCTGTGGCAGGCCCAAGACTATCCTCAGAAAGAAACTCCTTTCAGGTCCAAAGAATGCATCGTGGGCCCAGGCAGGCTGTGATCGTCAGCCGCCTAACTCAATAAAGGGGGCTGTAGAAGGGGTCCAGAACCCTGGTGGCGCAGTGGTTAAGAATGCAGCTGCTAACCCAAAGGTTGGCAGTTCGAACCCACCAGCCACGCCTCGGAGAACCTATGGGGCAGTTCTACTCTGTCCTATAGGGTTGCTATGAGTTGGAATTGACTCGACAGCAAGGGGGCCCCGTGTGGGCCAGAACCCGCCCGCAGAGAGATCAACTATGTTGATGGGGGGGAGGGAGGAGGAGGCCAGAGGGAAGACCTTACTTTTCATGTCCTGTCCTAGAACGCTATTTGAATTTTTTCAAACCCTGTATACATACACTAGGAGCCCTGGTGGCGCAGTGGTTAAGGTGCTCAGCTGCTAACCGAAAGGTCAGAGGTTTGAAACCACCAGTGGCTCTATGGGAGAAACATGTGCAGCCCGCTTCTGTAAAGATTTACAGCCTTGGAAACTCTATGGGGTCACTATGAGTTGGAATGGACTTGACGGCAGTGGACTTTGGTTTTTGGGTATGAACAGCAAAACTTGCGAAAACCGGAACCTGTGTAAGGCGGAAACCTGTCAGAGAAGAAAAACTCAACTATTTTCCACCACAAGGTGGGATGAAAGCGGTAAGACCGCACCCTGTCAAAGGCGGGAAACTTGCGAGACCCAGAAAAACAGGGCAGTTCCGTCAAGTTCCAGTTCTCACGGGTTTCGCTGTATTACTTTTAGGAATCCCTGGGTGGCGCAGATGGTTGAGCACTCGACTAATAGCCACACAGTTGGCCGTTTGAACACACAGATGCCCCTCGGAAAACAGACTTGGCCATCTGCTTCTGAAAGGTCACAGCCTGGAAAACCCTACGGAGCAGTTCTACTCTGCACACAAGGGGTGGCCACCAGTTGGAACTGACTCAATGGTAACTAACAATACGTATTACTTTTAGATTAAAATCTAAATTATAAAAGAAAGTTTTGTTGGGAAAAGACCTAAGCTCCTCTTCCATATTTTTCACAAACAAGTTTATAAAATGCAAAGAGTTTTAAAACCCGGTCGTTAAAACAATAAACAAAGCAAGGCAGGGGGCTGCTGGGGGGCCACCCAGCAATGGGAGGGAGGCGGGGTGGGAAGGAGGGAGCCCCGGCTGCAGGGCGGTCTCATGGGAGGCTTTGGTGACACCCGGACGCCCAGCCCTGCTGATGACCTGGCTGATCCTCGCACACCCACAGCCAAGCCACGAGTCTGGCTTCTTCCGGCTCCCCGGGACAGCTGCCCCTCCCTCCAGGCGGCCTCAGCCGGGGTCTTGGTAAAATGCAGACACGGCCACACCACCACCACCCCGGGCTCAAAGCTTGCCAAGGAACAGACCCCGGCCTGCAACCTGCCCAGGCACCCCCCAGCCTCCCCTCCGGGGCCCCAGAGTGCTCCCACAGCCGGGGATTGACGCCAGGGGGCACGGTGGATTAGGACTGCAGTGAGCCCTCACTCTTCTGGGGGCCGCCCCGACCCAGGACGCCCGGGCCCCTGTACCTCAGGCGCCCTTTCTGCCAGCTCCTCCACCCACTTGGAGCGGAAGCTACCCCTGCGCTGAGCCTGAAATTGGGTTGGAGCAAGCCGGAGACCCGGAGCGAGGGAGGACGGGGGCGGGGCTGGAAGGCAGAGGTTGA